ATATATATAAGCTGGTGTATATGTGCATTTCTATGTTGTGACTGTGTGTTCTATTATGGCATATTTCAAATAAATTCATCAATATCATAAAACTAGTTTTCGCTGACTTGGTAGCAAAAAAAACTGCAAGTTCCCAAACATTCGATTCACAATCGTTCTTCATTCATAAATTTAGCACTGCTATTTCTTATTCATCGTGCTACCCCTTTTCTCCGATCCCCTTTGCTTTTATTTAGAATGCCATTACTATTGCTACCGCACCTGACTGACTATCTGCTAGCTTCCATCATCAGCCAGTAATAAACATATGCAAATAACTATAAGCATTACTCACCACCCCTTAATTATAACCATTACATATGTAACGATTCAATCTTGCATGTGCAATACAGCATAACAAACACCCCTTCCGTTTTCATCACTCCTTTCCACAACTTCTCTTAACCATCCGAACTGTAACGAAACATCACTTACACAACTAACATAATTAATATGACAATTTGTTATGTTTATTGTTTATATTTATCATAATTGTGTTGTTTACGAGAATTGCAATTTACGATGATTGCAATAAACAGAAAAGGGATTGATGTGTAATAAATGATCGAATGTAAGATACATAAGTAAAGGTACGATGGGATAGTGTGATAGTATCGTATTAGGACGATGCGTGTGGGTGGCATTTCATCTCCGATTCAAGATAAACTATTATCTTAGTCATTTGTGAATGGACAGTATGGTAGGGATCGGAAATCTTTTTCACAATATTCACCATTCACTGGTCATTGCGACGAGCGACGACTAATGGACACATGCATAAGAACATTGTCGCAGCACAATTCACAATGTCCGTTGCAAACTGTACAGCGATATAACGCACTGATGATTTGGAATTGTATTTTTCAGCTCATAGAATCAATTTCAGCAAAAATAAAACAATTCTAACAGGGATTTTATTGAACAACTTAATTCTCAATTAACACCTCACAGATGCGCAAACGTTAAGAGTGCATTAATACGATTAGCCTAAAATATTGTGTGATCTCAAATAAATCACAACAACACATCATAATCTATAATTTGAACCACGCACACACAAATACACCATTAATCGGGACGAAGAGGATAAAAATGATGTGCAAATGGCAAATCCGAACTGATCATGCATGACGATTGTGCTATGATATTGTCAAATTCACCATTATTTTCATGTTATTGTATCACATTCACTTAGCTGCGACAAACGATAATCGATTCATCGACGTACTTCGCTTAGACACATGAACTCTGCGTCATTTTTGTGCTCTATGAGGCTCAAAGTTAAATAGACAAGTGTAGTGAAAATTTTGGAGAAGACTGAATCATTTCTGTTCAATATATTCAAATAAATCATCTCAAGTACTAATTTTGATCTTATTGTTAGAACAATCATTCAATAAATATTGTTTATTGCCATCGAATTTGACAAACATGTTCCGATGCTAATTTTCGAATTTCCTTCATTTCCCTTCATAAACATTCCTCTTGCTATGTTCATCTCAAACGGCATTACTCTTTGTGTCATTACTATATTATTCTCGTTCCACTCTTGAAATCATTTCTTTAAGAATTACTCCTTCATTCAACTATCAACGATCGCATTTACGCGCATACAGGAAATCAACATCAAAGAAACCAGTTAACGAAAACTACGAAGCAATTCCTTTAATCTATATGTTTCATATGCACATACAGATATAACATACGTGTATATGTGTGTTTATAATGAATAACCAATCAAACGTCAAAATTTTGTACGCAAATCATTGACTTCTACAAAGAGGATAAATATTTTAAATATTGAAAAAAAATGAAACGTTTTCCAACTAGTACAAAATAATACGAGGAAAGAAGGGAGAATAAAATCATACGAAAAATAGAATCATACGATATATATATAT